ATTGTACTGTAGATGTATCTGTTGGGACTGAATTCCACAGCTCTGCATTTTGGTTGGTTATGGTTTTCTGTAATGACTTCCACACACTATGGTTTTCATTTGTATTTCTCTAATGAGGAATGATATGGAACATCTTATTGTGTGCTTTTATGTAATTTATATAACTTCATTTTAAGAGTTATTTTGTTTTTATTTATGTGTGTGTGTGAATAACTCAGATGCCTGTGGAGGCCAGATGAGGCCATCAGATGTCCAAAGCTAGAGTTCTGAGCAGTTGTGAGCTTCCTACAATGGGTGCTAGGAACCAAATCTGGTCCTTTGCAAGAACAGGGGTGCTCTTAACTGAGCCTTTTCTTCAGCCCCTATAACTTCATTTTAAAATGGCTCTTTGTGCCTTTTATCTATATCCTAATTGGGTGTTTAACTGTTTTAAGAGTTCTTTTTATATTTGTATATGTAGGCCCTTTAACAGAAAAATGACTGGCAAACATTTTCATCCACTCTAGAGATTTTCTTTTCTTCTTCCCAACAGGATCTTGCACATACAAAAGCAAAGCTTTAAGTATTGTAAAGAAAAAAAATTATCCTCTTCCCCCCCCCATCAAATTTTATGAAAAACATAGCTTTAAGTGTGGTAAAGAAAAAAAATTATCCTCTTCCCCCCCCCATCAAATTTTATGAAAATTCACATTGCATCTAAAAGAAGGGGTTGAGACAGGGTTTTCTGTAGCTTTGGAGCCTGTCCTGAAACTCTGTAGACCAGGCTGGCCTAGAACTCACAGAGCTCCATCCGCCTCTGCCTCCCAAGTACTGGGATTAAAGGTGTGTGCCACCACCACCCAGCTTCTAAAAGTCTCATAGTTTTACATTTTATACATAAATCTATGTTTCACTTTGAATTTATTTTATGTAATATACAAGACTCAAGTTGAGGTGTCTGGTTTTTGCCCATGGTGTGCATTACTTTTAAAAAGCACTATTTGTTTTTGTTTTTTTTAAAAAAAACAAAAATAAAAACCTCATTTTCCTTCATTAAATTGCTTTTGCACTTCTGTCTAAAATCAATTGGGCATATGAGTCTATTTCTGGGTTTCATTCTGTTCCATTGATCCAGTTGTCTATCCTCTGTCAATATAATGTCTTGATTATTGTTGCTATAAAAGAAGTCTTAGAGTAGAATAATTACTTTTACTTCATTCTTTTCTCAAAATTGCTTCAGCTCCTCTAGTTTCTGCACATTTATATATAATTTGCAAAGAAATTTTGCCGAAGTCTTGGTAGGAATTGCATTAAACCTACAAATCGATTTGGAGAGAACTGACCTCTTTACAAGTAGAAGCCTCTGCATCTACCCAGCTCCTCTTCCACCAACACTCTCCAGCGTTTATGTATATATGTGCCTAAGCATTATATGGGGGTCAGTGACTACAATGTGTTTTTAACTCTAGATACCATTTGCTTATTGCTAGGTTATAGAAATATGACAAAGGGTAGAGAAAGCATCTAATACCCTGCTGTCTTGGAGAACTTACCATCTAGCTCTAAGTGCTTATTTGGGGGCTTGATTTTGTTTGTGTTTATACTACTTGGCATTTCCTACATAGATAACCATGTATATGAAAACACAGCAATTTTATATTTTTCTTTTCAGTATATCTGTCTCAGAAAATGAAAATGATAAATATAATGATGATGGTGATATATGCCTGACATAAGGTATAAGCCTGGAGTAGTTAGGAAGCCTCTTGCTGTATGTGGAAAGAATACATTAGAAAATAAAGCTAGGAGAAAAGAAGCCAGCTCAAAACATTATGTAACTGATTCAAATGGGCAAAAAAAAAAAAAAAATACTGCACTGTAGCATTTTCAGTTACACCACCTAACAAACACAGTTTTTCTCAAGCAAGTTTTAATTCACTTGAATTCAAAAAATCTCATTGATCTGCTTATAAAATCATGTTTAATGTTGAAATACAGTTCCAATGTCTTCCTCTATCACATGTCCATCAATACCATGAAAATATTCAACATGTCTTTAGGATAAAGTGTGACTATTTAACAATATCATGTTAAAAAATCAACTAAGTTGTAGTTTATTTAGATGCCCCTCCTCAGTCATTCTAAGATGTTACTGAACAATGAAAGAACAAAAAGAATAGAAACGATAATTCCCAAGCACCATCTCCAAAATATTATAATACTGAGTAATATTATAGCCAGCAGGTGTCCATATTTATGTCTCTTTAATGTAATAAAATTTCCCCAATATTAGGGAATTGCTCTAAGATTAGCTTGAGGAAAAGCCAACTAGACAAAGCCAAAACTCCCAAGGGGACATATTTAACTAATTAGGGAGGAGGTGATTAAAATGGAGCTGCTAATTGTCTACTATGCTCTCAGCAGTGGGAGACAAAATTACACCTCATGTTACTGTCAATTATGTAGTCCTCATTTGTCTGTATTTATCTTTCCCTTTAGGACACTGGAAAGCACACAGAGGGGTAGTTTCCAACATACATTATGCGTTCCTCTGAGGCAACAGGTTTATAGAATGTTTAGAGAAAGAATCATCCTGTGTTTAGACTTGTTATTAATGTGTACATTCTGAAGAAAAAAGATGCTTATTTTCAAGAGTATACTTTCCATCTGCACAGGACAGCTGCTAACCTTTGGGAAGACTGAAGGGGTGAGTAGGTGCCATAACAAGTATTGAGTGGTAGGAAGGAGGAGAAGAGGAGGCTTAAAATGGTAGTGAGGCAGTATTAGAAATTGAGCTTGGAGCAGTGAGAAATGTGTTTTTATAGTTGCTTTATTTTATTTTTGTTTAACTCATACCAAGGATATCATGCAACAATGGGATTTTTCACTCCAGGGATTTCCTATTCTGAGTTTGGGGAGTCATTCAAGTGAGTCAGAGAAAGTGAGTACTGCTGAAGTAACTGAGCATGAATCCTTAGTCTGAAATGCATCTATATTAGAGATGAAACCTAAACACATTTAGGGATGGACTTGAGCTATATCACTACAATGGAGACTGCCAGACACTCACAACATCCTTCTTCCTCTTGTTTCTAGAAGTGCACTGGGTACTGGCTGGCAGGGCCAAATGTTGCCTACATGCATCTGGATTTCTCCATTCTCATCTGAGGACAGGTACAGCCACTTCGTGTTTACTAATGGGAGCAGCAAGTGACCTCTAAGTACTTCACAATGCTTTCTGTGGATGCTTCCAACTCCATTTTCATGCTGGATCAGGGCAATGACAGAACAACCCAGGAAACCATGGGTCCGAATAGCAAAAGAGTCATGCTGGGTGTGAGCAGGTGAGAGCTCTGACAGACACACACACTTTAATCCACATGTGCCACTACACTTTAAGTCTCTTCAATGTATAGCATCCTGGCCTGCCCTCTACAAAGATAGCCATGTATTATCTGTGAAGCTTGCAGTGAATTTGGTTAATCCCTCTAAACCTGTTTTCTCATCTATAAAATGAATCACAACACCTATTCTCTAAATCACTAAGAAATAAGTAGATTTTAAGATATTAAA